AAAAAAAATGACAGATTCTTTGACCAAGGTGGCCTGCATGAAGCACAGCAAAGAAAGACCTCTAACAGATATGAGATCCTGGCAATATTGTGCTGGGGATGAATAAATAACACCTGCACAAAGTGCACAACCTCTCAGCAATGTCTCAGCAAAAGAGGTGAGCCTCCGCATCCACTGTGGCACAGCCTGCCAGGGTCACCTCAGGCAGCCAGTCGAAACAACGAACAAGTTGCTATTGAAGGAAACACTGTCAAACAGATTTGCAACACCATGCCCCGTTTGGAGCAGCCAAGTGAAAATGAAAAAAATGATCGGAAAATCTGACCAACACCAACAACTGGCTCCGGCCTCAGCAGCACCCAGCGATTGCGGAGCACTGTGCCTATCTGTGAGGACGAGGCCGCGTTTGACATCCACCTGAGCATCTTTTGGCTGAAACATGTACCATGTCGTCTCTTCTGTGTTCACCCAACTGTTCGACGATTTGCGTCGCATGTTTGTTCACCGTAACTCCATCGGCCTTTGGCCTTTCCAACTGCGAGGCTGAGCTCCCGACAAGAAGGCCTACCCCTTCTGCAGACCCGCTCTCCAAAGCCTGCAACAGCTTTGAAGTAAAAGAACACAAACCCTGGAAAACGTAAATTCTGTTCGAGGTCACAGTGGGTCGCAACCAGCGTGTCACTTGTGGCCCGGGAGGTGGCGAAAGCTAGGGAAGGGAGCGGTGTGGGGCATAAACCTTGGAAGCATTGGGCCAGCAAAAATTGGAGCCCGGCGAAGGCAAGATGCAGGCTCAACAGTGTCTGAGGGCAAGCCCGGAACCAATGGGCATGTTGGAAGATCAGACAGCCACCTCCGGCATTGTTTCAGTCGAGGTTAGAGCCTCATGGAAGTTAATGTACCATTGCTGGCCTAGGATATCCTAGGATGCTTCGGTGTAAACTGTGGTTGGTGTAGACCATGTTTCGGTGTAAATGGTCGTTGGTGTAGACCGTGGAGCAGCAGCAGCAGCAACAGCAAAGGAGTAGCCAACCACCCAGCAGCCGCAGCAGCCGCCAGCAGGCAGCCGGCAGCAGCCAGCAGCCAGCAGCCAGCAAGCAGCAATGAGCAACAGCAAGAACAGCAAACAGTAGGAACAGCAAACAGCAGCCACGTTGTGAACTGAGAAACGAAAGGGGGTATATCCCTGATAAAGGTCAGGTCCTGGCATCCCCATCCTTGCTAAAGCAAGACAGACTCCAACTAGCTGCAGCTAGTTTTTGTGAAGCCTGCACAACGATTGCAACAAAGGGGTCAAAACGTCAAAACGCAAACCATTTTGGGGGCTGGGGTTGCATGAGTTTAGTAATTCTGCCCATGGCTTCTTTCAAGTTCTAATCGTCCTGCTTCCATATCTTATTCTGTCACACTAGTCAACACAAATGTTATCTTTATTGTGGGCTATTAAAGTCTGCCAATGCCAAGACTTTCCAAAACACAAACTACAACATGCAAGGGCCAACAGGGGGGTCAAAATGTCAAAACGGTAGCCATTTTGGGGTGTGCATGGGTTTGGTATTTCTGCCCATGGCTTCTTTCAAGTTCTAATCGTCCTGCTTCCCTTCACCAAGCGCTACGCCTGCCACGAAATCTGCACGTCAAGGTTCACCAAGTGCTGCGCCTGCCACGAAATCTGCACTTCGAGGTTCACCAAGCGCTGTGCCTGCAACGAAATCTGCACTTCGAGGTTCACAAAGTGCTGTACCTGTCACGAAATCTGTTTACGCTGATACGCTACAAAGTGCTGTTTACGCTGGTTACGCTGCTTACGCCGTTTACCTTGTTTACGCCGTTTACGCGGGTTGCGGAGGATCCTCGTATGCGTTTGCCCAAAGGAACGTAGGGTTGGGCCTATTTGATTCGCTCTTTTGTGCATTATTCAATGCAATTGACAAGGTTTCGAAAAGCTCTTATCATCCGCCCCGAATAGTGAAGGAGCATTGATCCACATATAGACGGCCCTGATTGAAAAATAATGGTCGACAGTTGTCTATACGCATTGAAAATTCAATTTTGCCCGGCGCCACACGACACGTTAGCTGTCACGACACCTCAGGAGGAGCGTATGCAGGTGGAGTCACACTGGCCACCGTGACCAGGCTTGAACCTCAAACGGCCCAGGCGTTCCAGCACTATGTGGTTGGGAACGTCCGCCAGTGCCACCTGGAGCTCCATGTCTGGAGGTGGGATGGGGAATCTCCGATTCAGATGTTGAGGAGGGGCGCCCAAGAGAATTGCAAAATCTACCTGTGCGCATTTGGATTTTGTGGTTTCCCGATCAGTTTTTCTTCCTGGAGAAGTTCAACTTTAATTCTCTGTGGTGGAGCAGTTGACGCTTGATGTTGTTGGAGGTCCTTTTAAGCGTCCGGATGACCGCGCTGCTTTTGCGTGAAAGAACGCCGCCGTTCGCATTGCTTGCGCACTTGAGGCCACACCTGGTTTTCCTGTTGCTTCTTTTGGATTTCCACGGTTTGATATTGGAACTGGCCATCCCTGAAACCCACATTGGTAGCGGAGCTAGAGGGCGGTTTGGTGAAACTAGGCTGCTTGCTGCGCCGAGCCCGCATAGCTGACGCCGTGTCGAGCAACACTGCTGCGGCGCCGCCGCCGGCGACAGCGTGACGATGGCAGCTGCTGCCGCAGCTGCAGTTCCCCTGCCGACTGGGGCAGATCCATGGCAGGAGCCGGGCAGCATCCGTTGACTGACTACACAGGACCCAGAGGACTTCAGTGGTAGTGGTAGTGGTAGTGGTAGCAGTGGTAGTAGTAGTAGTGGTAGTAGTAGTGGCAGTAGCAGTAGAAGTAGCAGTAGCAGTAGCAGTAGGAGTAGGAGTAGGAGTAGTCGTCGTAGTAGTAGTCGTCGTAGTAGTAGTAGCAGTAGTAGTAGTAGTTATACATCACGCCTTTCTTTTCTGCTGAGCGATGCCTATTGGAGGAGTTTCTGAGCCCATGCCCAGCCTGACAGACGAGTGTCAGGATCCACACGACTGTATTGGGCTTTCAGTCGTCGCAGTGGGCCATGTTTTCTCCTGGCATCCTCCTGCGCCCTTTCTAAGAGCTCAGCTTCACTTTCCCCGAAGGCCTCGCCCAAGACTTATTTGCGCAGCAGCCACTACCACTACTCCTACTCCTACTCCTACTACTACTACTACCACTACCACTACCACTACCACTACCACTACCACTACCACTAC